CTGACTCAAGAGCTCAGTATGAAGTATGTTTTTTTCAAAAGGAAATTGTGTGTAGTTCGTTTTGTTGCCTTGTGTATGGAATTTCAGTTACAATATCTAATTACCTCCTGCCTCTTTCTATTATTACTTACTAAGAATCTTCTCCAGGAATATGCAGCAGCTGGAACTGTTAAACAAAATTATGTTAACATCTTACTGATGCTTTTGCGCCTTCGACAAGCTTGTGATCACCCTCTTCTTGTTAAACCATACGACTCTAAATCTTTATGGAGATCTTCAGTTGATGTGGCCAAGAAGCTTCCTCGGGAAAAACAGATTTTCCTACTGAACTGTCTGGAAGCATCACTGGCTATTTGTGGCATCTGTAATGTATATCTTCTGCTCATTTCTTCTCTTTGATGTGATACTTTTTAGTTCTAGTATATTAGTATGGTTTAGTGTATTTGGGATTTAAATACCACATTTAGTTCCAACTATCTGTTGGCTTATAAGTTATCATGAATTTGTTGACTTTTTGCTTAATATAAAAATTACAAAGCATGAAATTCTGATGCTCTTTTTATCCCTTATAACTGCTGAACATATATTGAGGCATTCTGTACCTTTGACGTTATATGTGAATTTCTCGCCTCAAAAACTGCTGTTTGGGCTCTGCATGATGCTTTCTTGTTATGTCAGAGATGTATGACATGTTTATATCGCAACACTCTGTAAGAAGGAGCTTTTTAGCTTCATTTTGTGACTTCATCATTTCTGATATTTATGCAGTTCCCCATGTTCTCTTTGTTATCCTGCTAATCTTTCATTTATCTGGTAAGAGATAAGCGGTATATTTCTTAAATCAAATTTCTGTGATTATTTCTGTAGGATCCACCTGAAGATGCGGTTGTTTCAGAATGTGGTCACGTTTTCTGCAAGCAATGCATTTTGGAACACCTCTCTGGTGATGATAGCCAGTGCCCTACAGCAGGATGCAAAGTTCGTCTCAATGCATCTTTGTTGTTTTCCAAGTCCTCATTATGCAATTCTCACTCCGATCAGCTTAGTGAGGACAATTCAGTGGTTAGCTCTTCTTCCACGGTTGGTGACTCAGTGGAGCCCTCTTCATCAGTTATGTACGAGTCTTCTAAAATTAAAGCTGCTCTTGAGGTTCTGGTGTCATTGGCTAAACCCAAGGAATACTCTTCAAAAAACAGCCCTTCCCAACTTGCTGTTGTTGGAGCCAGCGAGAAATCAATCGATGCTCCATCCACTGAACCGCAAATGGAAGGTCCCAAGTGTCAAGATTCTACAAACAAAGGCTCTTGCGAATCAATTGGAATAGGTGTAGAAAAAGCAATAGTCTTTTCTCAGTGGACGGGAATGTTAGATTTGCTTGAAGCAGGTCTAAAAAACTCCTCCATTCAGTACAGAAGACTTGATGGTACCATGTCAGTACTTGCTAGAGATAAAGCAGTAAAGGATTTTAACAATGTTCCGGAGGTTTGTCAAACGAACTGGCCCTACACTTGAGTAGTTTTCACATATTTTATAATCGCACATCTGTATGTATGCTGCATGGTCTTTTCCTTTCTTTTCTGTTTATTGATAGAAATACTGCCTGTTATTCTTACCTTCCAACTTGTTTGCATGATAAATATGATTCAGTAATTTCCCTTATAATAGGTGTCAGTTATGATCATGTCTTTGAAAGCTGCTAGCCTTGGTCTAAACATGATCGTTGCCTGCCATGTTCTTCTGTTGGACCTCTGGTGGAATCCTACAACGGAAGATCAAGCGATTGATAGAGCACATCGAATCGGACAAACTCGTCCTGTTACAGTGTTGAGATTAACTGTAAGAGACACAGTCGAGGATCGTATTTTAGCCCTTCAGGTACGTACTGGTCACATGTTTCACTTTCAATTATTGATTTGAGTTCTTGATTGTTCTAGATTGATCAAAATCCAGTTTACTATGCAGATACGCAATCAGTTAAGTGAAGTTTCAAAAACTTTAGTTTTGCCTTACCAAAAGTTAGTTGGGATCTAGGAAAGACAGACACTTTAGTTTGGGTAACATGTTCTTGTTCGTACACATATTCAGTACTAGTTAGCATAATAGACGTGTTAGTTAGTTGTGCAAGGTTATGTTGGTCAGGCATAAATAGATGTAAATAGTAATCTAGGTCAAAAGTAATATATGAGAGAAAAGTACATCCAACTTTTTTTTTTAAGCATGTAAATGTAAATAAATATATAAGAATTTGAATTTCCTTGTATAAATATGATATATATTTAGGAAATTGTATTTTGAAAATTTTAATTATTATGTTCTTTTTTGATCTTTGAAATTTGGGTATCATAATCTATTTAATTCTTACATTTTCATCCCTAAGATCGAGGAAGCATGAGTGTCTGGATCTATTTAGTTCTTAAATTTCAAAATCTTACACTTTCATCCCTATGACCGAGGAAGTGTGGGTCTTAGAATCTATTTAGTTCTTAGATTTCAAAATCTTACATTTTCATCCCTAAGATTGAGGAAGTGGTTCCTTTTAGTACTTCGATCATTAGTCAACCTACAGGAAAGTGACATGCAATAGAATTAGTGAGATTCAACCATTAAAATTGAAAGAACAAGAAAAACTCTCTCTCTCTCTCTCTCCCCCTCTCCTCTCTCTGACCCCTCGCCCATGTTAGCCCCATCCCTTCAGGTCTCACTTTCAGCGAGTAATGTTCAACGGCGGTGAGACCCACGACCTCGCCTTCACTGATTCTGTTCTCCTTCACCACTTACCTTCTCTTCCAACTCTCCTTCTCATGGTTTTCTTTCTCTCTCGCTTTCCAGCCTTGAACAGAAATCATGTAATGATCAATCCTAGTCGGCAACAGAATAGCTACATATATTATTGTTAAACAAGGCCTTGGTTGACATTAGCTATGTTGATCATTTCCCTCCATTTTTGCATGAAAGAATATATAAGGACTTACAATAAGGACTCGACAAAAAACGTATCTTTGCCTCGGTACTAAACTTTTAAACTTCACGTGTCATTGTGTCTGTATATTGCTTCTTAGGTTAGGACACTATATTTCTGTTTGAACTTTTTCCCCAACCTAATTGTACTTCATATTTGCCCACATATTTATGTATGACAACCACATTCTTGGCAATGGTTAGGCACAATGGATTTGTGACAGAATGCGAAAAAATCTTATAATTCTTTTAAAGCGTTCCTGTGTGTTTTTCTCCATGAATTTACACGTCTGTTCCAATCAGGGACGTCGTGTGATCTGAATTTCTGCATCCATTTCTGTTGGTTAATTGATTGTTTATATGCATTCATTTGTTTCATGCAGCAAAAGAAAAGAGAAATGGTTTCATCTGCATTTGGAGAAGACAAAGCAGGCGGTCAACAAACTCGTCTCACAGTAGAAGACCTGGACTACCTTTTTATGATGTGATGATAGATATACTTTCCGATTATTCTTTGGAATTGGCTGCTGATGATTTAGGCTAACATCATAACATCATATGCACATATGATATGAAGTTTTGGGTGGTGGTGAAGGCTGCCTGCATTGGCCCCATTTTTGGAAAGCAAGTTGTCCGACATATTTAGATTAGTCGGGCAACCAGATGATTTGTGAATAGCATTTTGTAGAAATCTTTGATTCCATTTTTGGCCACTCAAATTCTTTTCTCACACACAGTTTGATCCCTCTGTGGACTCTGTTTACACCCCATTCCCGCAGTATATCCCACAGGTTGTAAAAATTAGAAATTTATAGAAAAGATAGAAAATTATATCTGTCAAAACTCTTTTCCTTTCCAAATGTAAAGATATAGATAGTATTTTTTTGCTTTATCATCTCCCCTCTTCTATGTTTGTTATATATATATATATATATATATATATATATATATATATTATACACTTTTCTTCTTATAGTAAATTAATTTTATTGTTCCATTGGTTAAGAGAATTTCAATTCCTTTGATTTGGGAGAAATTTCTGCGTGTATAAAAACGACATTATTATAATGGATAAAAGAGAGACATTATTGTTGGATGAAAGTCCAACATTGGCTAATTTAGAGGTTAATTTAGGGAATAATCATGGGTTTACAAGTAAGGAATATATCTCTATTGGTATGATATGATGCATTTCAAAGAAACCCAAAACAAAGCCACGAAAGCTTATGCTCAAAGTGGACAATATCATACCATTGTGAAGAGTCGTGTTCATCTAATATGTATCAAAGTCATGCCCTAAACTTACTTAGCCATTTTGTCAATAGAATCCTCAAATGTCAAACAAAGTATTGTGAGTCTCGAAGGCATGGTAAAAAAAGTGACTAAAGTATCGAACAAATGGTGTACTTTGTTCGAAGACTATAAAAAAAAAAAAAATCAAGCCTCGATTAAGGAGAGGTGTACTTTGTTCGAGGGGAGAAGCCCAAAGCAAAGCCATGAGAGCTTATGCTTATGGACAATATCATATTATTGGAAGAGTCATGTTCATCTAATAATTATTACTATAAAAGTTTCGTTTCCCTCGACAAAATAAAATGAAATAAATCATTTGGTAATTATTATTTTTCTTTTTTAGGCTGGTTTTTACTATAATTATTTTACAATAATTTTTACATTCTTAAAAATATATATATTTGAATTTGTAGGAAAATTCAAAACACAAAAAATAAATTTTATAAAAAAAAAAGAGTAAAAATATAATTTTCAAAAATATTTATAGTAAAAATTTTGTAATATCATATACTTTATAATACATTATATCATTACTGAGGACTTTATTATATCATAAGCATAGTTAGAAGAATACATTTATTTATCTAATAAAATTTATACATCAATAAATAAGTACCAAAAGAAATGTACACTGAAAATCAAATAAATAAATAACATATAAAATAGTAGTAATGAACTTTGAATACCAAAATACATAACCATTTATATATATATATATATATATGTCGAAAAACTATTCAAATCTGATCTTATCTTTCATCTTCCTCGACCAACTTCATCACTGCACCTGAAACACTGGAGAGCAGTTCTGACCAATCACTGCACACCAAAATAATAATAATAATAATAATAATAAAATTACATTAGAAATATATATATATATATATATTAATTAATTTATTTATTAGGATAAATTTAAATTGTACCCATTTGTGGAGTCAAAAGACAAGCCGACAGTACACTTAGCTTCCTCAACGGCCCAAGCGAAGCGGCTGAGCCTTTTATTTTCATCGGCAACTCGGAGCTCCGACGGCTTCACATTCCAAAAAATCGGCACGATCCATTTATTGGAGCGCAGCATACGAGCCAGCTCATAGAGACAGTAATAGGACTCGCAATACCGAGGCGAAAAAACCGGTACTCCGACCCTGCAGCTTCGGATGGCGGAGTCAATTTTGCCAATTAGATTGTCGCCGGGGGACATGGACTTGACGTCGAGAAATGGCCACAGCCCCAAGCCGGAGAAATGCTCGTGCAATATTCCGGCCACGCTCCGTCTTGTGTCGATTCCACGGTGGCTTATGAACACGTCGAAATCTGGGGATTCCGTTTTGATTCTGTTTTTAATTTTGGCGCACAGGTGCGTGGCCTTCACCGCCGCCGGTGACCGTTGCATATCTCACGCTCTCTTCCAACACTAAAATTTGGTATTTAATTTTTATGAAATTAATGGAATTCGGGTTCTTTATTTATAGGGTTCCAATTTTGAATTACCACGAACTTTCTTAATTATCTATTTAAATAATAATAATAATAATAATATGAACAAGATTGTCACCCAGAACTCGTCAACAAGTGGAAACGGAGGGAGAAATGATAATGGGTTAATTTATAAGTGTTTAATAATAAATTGTTTTTTATGAGAAAAATTAAAAAAAAATAGTTAATCTATTAAATATAAAATTTTACTTTATATTTAACAAAATCTTAAATTTTGTAATTTGTTATTTAATTATTATTTTTTTTTTAAATTTTAAGCACAAAAAGTAAGTAGGGAATTTAATATTATGATTATAAAATTAATTTATTGTAAATTGAAATTTCAAATATATAGATATTTTTTAGATTACAGAGAAATTTTACCTTGGATTAGAAAATGAGTAAATCAATCAAATTATATTATCAATATTAAATTTAATAAAAATTATATGAAGTTTATAATTTTGATAGGAAGTTTCTTGGGGAGCAGCAGGTCAAAATTGATTGAAAAGAAAATGGTTCAATCAATATTGTTAGGAAAGAACATTCCATATCCTTTATGAACAGGTGCTGCAAACCAACTTCTCTTGTTTCTTTCTTTTTCTAGAATTTTTTCTTCTTCTTTATATATATATTTTATTTATTTATTGTTTGATTGTTTGTCTGTGTCCAAAATTATGTCCGATTGTTTGTCTGTGTCCAAAATTATATCCGACCAATTTTTAGAAACTAATTTATTGGAAAAGTTTAACGAAAATTAATGTTCGCGTGTTTATTTATTTTTTAAATATTCTTTTTTTTAAATTTTAATAATTTAAAATGCATCAGTATAAAAATTGGATTAATTTAAACTTCATTTTTAATGATTAACTCTCAAGAGTTTTTTCAAAAATAGCTTTTAAATTAATCCATTTTTATATATATATTTTGTTTAGTTATTAAGAATAAAAAAAACAGTTTCGTTATAAAATTAAACTTTATTTTTTTAAAAAAATAACTCATGAGGCGAGTTTTTCTATAGTAGTCTTACTGGGTCTCTGACCCCTCCGTCAGCTCTCATATTTCATATTTCTTTACCCAAAAATAAAAATTAAATTAAATTAATTAATTAAAAGATTTACCCATCTCTCCCTCTCATCCCAATCTCATTCTCTCTCCTCAACTCACACCGTTCTTACAAAAATAAATTAAAAAAAATATTAGATTTAATAAAATAATATTATATTTGGAGAGATGTTGTTCGATGTTTGTCTGTTATTATTGAAAATCCTATTTTTATAAGAAATTAAGTTAGAATCAGATCTGCTTTTCAAAAATATTTTAAGATCAATCAATCTCATTTTTCCATATCCAATTAATTAGATTTCTGTTAGCCTTTAAGTTATAGAAAATACGGTTAGAATCGATAAAATTTTAGTTGACAGTTCTATAAACAATTAATTAAGATTTGTCAATAATATCTGTTTACAAAAATAAATACAATATCTGGTTAAGAATGAAAGTCTATTTACAAAAGTAATTACAGAGAGGGGAGGAGAGAACATTGAGAAAAGATTTGGTGAACCGAGTTTATAAATAAAACCGAATATATCTTAGAGGTCAAGAAACTTCATTAAATTTTCTATAGTAACGGTATATTCCCTGCCACAATAATAATAGAAAAAATAAAATATTTAGTGAAAATAACATTAATTAATTATATATATATATATAATGTTTTACAAATTTTCAAGACTTTTAACAATAGACAGATGTATGTAAATTAGGGAAATAATTTTATAGAGTTCAAACTTCAAATTGACGTCATGGCTCACATATGTTGACTTGGATTTCAAAGAATACAAAAGGATATATTCGTGACAACAACTTAAGTTAACTAGGTAAGTGGCCTTACTATAGGCATGGTTATATTTGATGTTGACACGGGCGGCGTGCAAAGGTTTCCTCGGGCTAGATGGAGATTGGCCCTCGAGTGCAAAGGCAGAAGGGAGCTTGACTGCAAGACCCACTCGTCGAGCAGGGACGAAAGTCGGCCTTAGTGATCCGATGGTACCGAGTGGAAGCGCCGTCGCTCAACGGATAAAAGTTACTCTAGGGATAACAAGCTGATCTTCTCCAAGAGCTCACATCAACGATAAGGTTTGGCACCTCGATGTCGACTCTTTGCCACCTGAGGCTGTAGTATGTTCCAAGGGTTGGGCTGTGAGAAGACCATTTACTATTTCTTGAAGCTCGATCTCTCCCCGGATGAACCATATAGCCAAGAGAAACCATGAACCAGAATAGAAGAACTTGCCCCACCCATGAGTAAATATTTCATAGTAGCCTCATTAGACCGTACATCTTTCTTGGTATATCCAGATAATAGGTAGGAGCATAAACTAAAACATTCTGGAGCTACAAAGATAGTTATTAAACCATTAGCACCGCATAAAAACATTCGTGCATGTGTCATATATATTCATATGTGTGAATTGTTTATGAATCGATATGCTTATGATATGTTATAATATGTGAATTGTATGATAATACTTACGGTACGATGTGTTCAATGATATGTTTGAGAAAGGATACAAGAAAGATGCACTAAACGTAATGTAACGATAGGAGTAAGACATGGTTACGCATCAAAGTGTTATGGTATGAGAGATTGATAACAACGATATGGTCACGATCGATTGATAAAAGAATATGATTAGGTTGTGGATAGAAAAGGATAGGATTATGATAGATTGATAGAACGATAGCGCTAGGATGTATTCCTGTTATGACTAAGGTACGTTCAGGTAACGATACGACTGTAATATGTTTAAGGACATTAAGACTATGATAAATTAGGGAAGGATATGACCACGAAGTGTTTACAATATGATATGATTATGATACGACATGTGAAGATATATATATAGTGATATGATATGAAATATGTTATGGTATGAGACATGTGATCAATTGACATATTTATGATACGATATATTGTGATGTGATATGTTACGTTTGGTTGTTTTGTGTGACCTTGAGGTAATTGTCGTATGAATCGCACGTTATGAAATGATATGTTAAAAGCATAGAGCGTTATGTTATGTCTCCTAAATTGTACATATACAACATGTTATGAATGACATGATATCACGATAAATGACATGAAATATAACCTCGTTAGAATTATGCATGATATGAGAATTGAAAAATGAGGAAAGATATGATATGAATGTAAGACAATATGGGGTTATATTTAATAATGTCGAAAATGGAAAAATACTGGAACTTCATGCATTATGTGTACTTATGCATTGGGGATACCCTATTTCATCACGATGGTACGTACACGAACACTAATAGACAGGGGTACGACCATTATGTTTTACATAATGCTGCCGTGACAGTTACTAGTTCTAACGGGTGTCTGGCCTAAGGAGCTTCCAGAGTATGCTCGCTCGACAAGGAAGGTGGCCCAGCAGTGTGCGAACTGACTGGTGAGTCCATACCCGCACGTATAGACTGTGTGTAGAGTATATGGTACACATCCAAATTACCCGTTAGGACAGTACCGTAGGAGAATAGATTGAAAGGATATGTCACATCATTGCATTCACATGTTCTTCCATTTAATCCCAATAGTGGTATCACTTACTGAGTATTTATTTAAATATTCAAACCACGTGCTACTTCTATTTCAGGTTAAGGCAAGGCATTCCTATATGGACGACGACGATATCGCAACTCGAGACTATGACACATGCGTAAGGTAGTCATATTTATTTTCTTAGACTTAGACTAGAATATGATGTTTTTAATTTAAACGTTTATTTATTTTATTTAACCTTTTGTTATGTCATTTTTAAAGGTGTTTTCGAAACACGCAACTCCATGGCTGTGCTTTAAGATAAAAATTACGTTTTATGGAAGTATAAAAATTACGTTTTATGGAAGTTTAAATGAAGTCTTTCCTCATTCAATGTTTATGATATAACCTTAAATTAAGTAAAAAATTTCGAATCGTCCCGCATCAAAAAAATTGTGTCAGATAAACACTATCATTTTAGAAATTCACAATTTGATTAAATAATTAAAATTTAACAACAAAATGATTAAAAGGTTTCTATCCAACAATATATTTTTAATGTAAAATATTGTCTCGCCTATTTAATAAATAAATAAATAAACTGGAGGCATAGACATTTATTGGGAGAGTTTATAATATTATCAGTATTGAAATAGCAAAAATAAAAAATGGCTAAATTAATTACATAAATTTGATGTGGAAATGAAATTAGGTAGGACGGCTATGCTATTCTCATAGCCTTCTCATACCTTTTGCCCTAAATTCAATGCCTTCATAAATACTCTCATTAATTATTTTTACTTCCTTTTATATATATATATATATATATTTTGTTATTTATACGAACAAATCTAAACCGGCACGAAAAATAGATTTGGGAGTTAGGGTTTAAGGAAGCAAGTATAAACGAAAGCAAGGAGGAAGACAAAAACATGTTATATCCCGCTCGAGATTACCCTATTAAATCCAGCACGAATTGTGACAACTATAGACTCTAAAAATACAACGAAATCTATCGTCAGATATGACCGAGTCTAAAACTTAACTTTAATTACGAACGTCACTTACTCAGTACAACAAAAATTAAGTTATTTATTAAAATCAATTAAGTTTGAACTTAATTCTATTTTCTTAGATATTTGTGTATTCCTACGTGGAAGGAAGGGATAGGAGTAGGTGCTGACTAGATTTGTCCAATTTGTATGCCCTAAGAGGGAGGATCTAATTTTTCATTTTCCAACTAAGAAAATAATTTCAATATATTTTCCAAATTGCACACGGAAAATTCATAATTGATTTCTCTTCCATTTTGTAATTAAAAAATATATATATATATCTACGTGGCAAGCAATAATAATAATTAAAAATTATATATCTATACATACCTGGCAAACCGAAAGGCTGCAAAGTGATCCGCCGTGGATTCTCTGCCATTGCAATGTCATTTAAAAAAAAAAAACATATAAAATAAAATAAAATAAAATAAGAATTAATAAAATTTAAATTTATATATCCACAAAGAGAATCTTCCGTCACATTCTGTCACCCCAAAGCCCTACTGGTTCAGACCCCATCCTTTCAGTGTTCATCGTTTTCCATTCAATTTAATGCAACAAACCTTCATTTTCCATTTCACATTAAAATTTTCAAACGGATTTAACTCTATTTCATATGTAATTTAATAAGAACATACCAAAAAAAAAAAAAAAAAAAAAACTATATTATATACTGTGTTTTAAGGTTTGATGTCGTGGTTGTCGTCCCATAGGATGTTGAGATCCGTTGTGGCGAAGGTGTCGATGTCTTCCCAGCTCCAGTAGCTGCTGTTCGACATGTCGGCGCCGCTGCAGTTGGTGGTTGGAAGCTGCCATGGATGATGTGTACTGGTGCTGTTGGGTTGCTCTGTTTCTATGGCCTTCAATTCTTGATCTGTTGTTGTTGAAACGCCAGAGAAATCTGCGTTTTGGGAATTGAGAATTCCGTAATTTGTAGTGAAGTTTTCACATTCCACCCAGTTGGTCGACGACGGCGGCGGTGGTGGCGGCGGCGGAGGGAAAATCAGCCCTTGATACAGAGGAAGGGAAAATTGGGTGTTTATCATTACGCCGTCTGCGGCGGCGACGGCGGCGGAGGCGATGGCGGAGGAGGAGGATTTGGGGATTGGTTTTTTTTTTAAGCGTTTGTTTTTACGGCCGCCACCAACAGGGACGTTTCGGAGAGTTCCACCATTGGTCCAGTGACGTTTACAAGCTCTACAAAAATGGCGCGGCTGAGATTTGTTGTAATTATTGTAGTAACAGAATTTGGTGTTGGTTGAATCGCATCTTGGGCACTTTAATTGCTCAGTTTGTGACGGATTTTGGTGGTGGTGCGATCGTTTCACGGCGGCGCTTGACAGTTTCTGTGGCGGCGTAAGCGTCTTGCTCCAATCAAATACATCGATCGAAACCTGTTTCGAACTCAAACCCATCTCTCAAAACAACTCGAAGAACAAAACCCAGAAGGGAATTGAAACAAAAAGGATCAAAGAAGCTGAAAAACAGAGAGACAGAGAGATACGAGGTTATAAGAAGAAGAAGAAGAAGAAGAGGTTGCTGGTCGGAAAGGACAAGGAAGGGGAATTCATATCTGTAATTAAGAAATGATTCTGTGTGGAAAAACCAGAGAAAATGGTTTGACTAAGAATTCAATTTTCTATTGGCATAGCGGAATTTGGGTGTTCTTCACAAACATCTTTTATTGCTTTTTATTTATAGAGAGAGAAACAGAGACTTCAAGACTAAGTAGAAAGTGTTAGATGACACGTGGATTAATCCCAGCCGTCTATAGTGCGTTTGATTGATGTGCATGGCAACGGCAGTCGCAAATTGGCAACGATTCATTAAAATGTAAATATTTATCATACGTTACGTTACAGTTTCTTTTTTTTTTTTTTTTAACTTTCAAAATTATATAATATTAATTTTATATTTCTTATATTTTTTTAAATAAGTTAGTTAAAAGTAAAAAAAAAGAAAAAAAAAAAAAAAGAGAACAAATTTCAGAATGTACTGTGGTAAAAAAGTAATACATAAATTTTCATAAAATTATACACATGACATGAGACATGACCTTATATAAAGTATACATAAAAAATCGGGTAATTTACTAATAAAATGATTGAAAAAAAATAAATTAGGAAAAGAATAATTTCGAAAGCAGCTCGTGGGTCCCACAGGGGATGTTGGCATCACGTGCTCCTCCAATTTGAGGCATTGCTTCTTCTTCCTGGACCCATCCGCATGTGATTACATGTTCCACGTTGGCTGTCTTTGCGTTATTCGCCACGTGTGGGCTCCTCCACCCTGAGCGTGTGAGTTTCCTTTTTTTCTTTTTTCTTTTTTTCTTTTTAATTTAAAAAAAATAATTTTATTTTAAATTCCTTCCCCTCTGACTAGACTAGCAGCCCAATAAGACCTAATCATTATGTGAGAGACTCACCTAATGTCCCAGTCCCAGGGATTTTAGTTTTTGTTTTTTTTTAAATTATTATTATTAAAATAAATTTATATAAATTAAAATTGTGAATCTCCGGTAAACTTCTCCGAGAAACTTTATATATTATTAATTAAGATAATAATAATAATAATAAATAATAATAACAAAAAAATTATAAGTAAAAAATACGGTGCATGCGTGGGGAGTGTGGCCGTCAAACAAATAGGAAAAAATAAAGACCCACGAAAAGCACGTGCTCTATTAAATTTAAGAATTAAGTTTAATAAAATAGGGGAATTAAATAATAATATTACATTAATACGGAATTAATAATATAATAATATTATATATATATATATATATATATATAAAAGAAAAAAACAATTATTTGATTAAGATTTGATCCGGCCAACGAAGCAGAAACAAAATAATGTGAAGAATCCCAATCCCAATTCCCAAATCCAGCATGGTCGGTTCGGTCGGTCATCTTTCTCATTGCCTGTTCTAAACCACAAAATTCTTTTTTTAATTAATTAATTAATTATAAAATTGAATTATTATTGTTACGTTTGATTTTAATGAATGGAAATAATTAAAAATATAAGAATGTTTAATTAGGCGGAAAAAAGGGAAAGCATGAGAGTGGAATGATGGTGGAATATTATATATATATATATATATATATATATATATTTAATTAAATTTATAAATGACCTAAGTTTGAACACATGGAAGTGAATGATTCAATGATTTGGGGTTTTGGTAGGCTAATTAATTAATTAATTAATTAATTAATTATAATTATGTGCATGCAAATTGGAGCGTGGCGTCTCTTCCAGGTTGTAAAGTGAGCAATCCCACATTTCTGCCATCACTTGTCATTTGGGGTATTTAGCTTCCTTCTTAAGATTTTATCCTATTTGGTTTTGGGTCTGAGATGGACCGGGTCGCGATACAATGTTAGAATTCTATCTCTTTTAAAATGGTATCTCACTGATGGCTCGGGTCTCTTCGAAAGGGGGAGCTACACTGCGCAGGAAAGACCCATAGCTAATCCATGGGAACAGTGAAGATTCGAGAATTTGTGGAATAATATGACTGACAGTTCCACACTATTTGATTTGTTTTAGAATTAGCGATAATATAATTTTTTTTTTATTGAAAAAGAGTAATTTTTAGACGAGCGATTTTGATGGGTTTATTGAAGCTCGTGTACGAGGAAAAACAAATATCTTATCGATGAAGCTAAGCGTGAAATGACAGCTGAAGAACAAATTGTGTCCAAAGTTATGAAAAAAAAAAAAGGAAGAAAGAGAGTGCAGGGAAAGCAAAATTGTCATTTTGTTCTGCTTTTTGCAGCTTCTTCAACCTTAAGAAACACACTCAAATCCCTGCTGTCACATTGGACACTTGTAGCTCATGGTATGCTCATGTTTGGTTAGCTAAAAAACACGTATGTTAATAAGAAATGCTTCATTCCCTCTCTTTAACTGATACGGGATCTCGCAATTCGCCTCTATTAGAGGCTCAGCGTCTTCACCGACACACCGCTCAATGTCAGGCTCTAATACCATTTGTAACAACACAAACTCACTAGCACACCACCCTGATTCTCCACCACTAACAGATATTGTCCTCTTCCTAGGAGAAGTTTTCACACACTTATAAATGATATAAGATCTGACAATCTTCCAACGTGTCTGAAAGCAACGATTCAACCAAATTTGTTCCACAACCGACTCGAACGCTATATTCTTCGAGACGGGTTGTAGAACGTTCTAAGAACACAAAACATCAAAATCACCAACTAATTCCTAGTACCATTTACATATAAGATAACCCATTATACAGCAATTCATACAATGTTGAAAGAAGCTGACAAAGTGGGATGATTAGACTGCTTGTTTTGTGTCAGTGTCTCACAGGCAGCTCTTGTTCTGTCATTCATGCACTCTGTAACAGCCTATCTCTTCTCCTTTTTGTCTTTGTTTGTAAAAACGACAAGAGCCGAGGTTGTTGGCCAAACCAACACATGGGAAGCATGCGTGCAAGACTCTATGCTCATACCTTATTTACTTCAGGACAAAACACAAAACAAACAAACAAACAAAACGGACGTATGATTTTATTCAAACTGCTTAATTGTTGATGCTTTAATTCAAGATTCCCCCAAACAACAAAGCCTAACCCTTTTGCAAATCATCGAGCTTTCAATGGATAAAATTGAGCACATCTTCGTGGAAGTTCATGGCGGCTTGAAAATCCACGTGGCGGCGGTCGGAACCGGTGATCAATTTCTCCGCCCCTATGGGAACTTAGCTTGTTCTTTTGTTCTCTGTTTTAATGTTCTTTCTTTCAGGTTCTAATGTGGTGGTTTTTCTTCATGGATTTCCTGAGATTTGGTACTCCTGGCGCCACCAGATGATTGCTGTGGCTAACGCTGGATTCCGAGCAATCGCTCTCGATTATAGAGGTTATGGACTCTCCGATTCCCCGGCCGAGCCCTCGAAGACTACTTACAACGATCTCATTACTGATCTCCTTCAGATTCTCGACACTCTCGATATCCCTAAGGTACTGTTCTAGATGTATTGTCGTAATTCTCATTTAATTTTTAATCTTCATGATTCATATTCTTATTTATTTTAGTTATTAATTCTCGTTTAGTTCATAACCATTTTATTTCGTATTCTCGTTTATTTGGTTAATGTATGAGAATTAGTATTGCTATGCGTTTTCTAACATTATTATGGGACGTGGAGTCATTGTTATTTTGTATTTGTCTAGAAACAATTGGGAGGAATTTTGACGAGAGACTTTGTAGTGTGAAAGTGTGAGAGATACACTTGGATTATAGTGACTGACTATCGCCCGTGGATGTAGGAAAATTTCTTTTCTCTAAACCACATAAAATCTTTGTGTCTTTTTGTTTAATTTATGTTTGTAGATGTGTGAGTACGATCGATCTTGCTCCCACTTCCGCTACAACAATTGGGTATTAAAACATTGTTGTTGTGGTATTTAGACAACAACAAGTGGTATTAGAGCATTTTAGATTGTGACATTACGGCACAACAAGTGGTATCAAAACATTAAAAGTTGTGGCATTACGACACAACAAGTGGTATTAGAGCATGGAAGGTTGTGACATTACGACACAACAAATGGTATTAGAACATTGAAAGTTGTGGCATTACGACACAACAAGTGGTATCAAAGCGTTGAAAGTTGTGGCATTACGACACAACAAATGGTATCAGAACATTGAAGGTTGTAGCATTACGACACAACAAATGGTATCAAAACATTAAAGGTTGTGGCATTCAGGCACGAGTGGTATAAGAGCATTTTTGGTTGTAGCATTCCGCTACAACAATTGGGTATCAAAACATTTTAGTTCTGACATCCCGACACAACACGAAGTTTAATCATAAACCATCTAAGTGCATAATTCTTAAGCCCTTCACTCAAAACCTGTCTGTAATGGACCTGTTTTTGGGTTGATATATGTTCTATACTAATTACAAGAACTGTGAACAGGTGTTTCTAGTGGGGAAAGACTTCGGAGCAATGCCAGCTTATTACTTTGCTATCAAAAACCCAGACAGGGCATTGGGAGTTGTGACATTGGGAGTGCCATTCTTGCCAACTAAACCCAAGTTCGAAGAAGGCCACCTCCCTGAAGGCTTCTACATTTCAAGATGGCAGGCATGATTCAACCCCACAATTTATAAGAACACCAACCATCAGCAGCTGATTTCAGTGGTTTAAAGTTCATCTTGTCTGATTTTTTTGTGCAGGAACCTGGGCGAGCAGAGGCTGATTTTGGTCGTTTTGATCCAAAAACTGTTGTTAAAAATGTGTATGTGCTGTTCTCTAGAAGTGAAATCCCAATAGCTCAAGAACACCAGGAGGTAATGGATTTGGTGGATTCATCTACCCCTCTTCCCCCTTGGTTCTCTGAAGAAGATCTTGCAGTTTATGGAGAACTGTATGAGAAATCTGGATTTGAAACTGCATTAAAAGTTCCTTACAGGTTTGAATCTTGTTTATGATTTATGAGTATTGTGTTCGGGATTGTTGGGAGTGAGTCTCTAAAATCCTCGGTTTATAAGGGACGAATACTATCTCCATTGGTACGAGGCCTTTTGGGGAAGCCCAATGCTCAAAGTGGACAATATCGTACCATTGTGGAGATCCGTGATTCCTAACATGGTATCAAAGCCATGCCCTAAACTTAGCCATATCAATAGAATCCTCAATATCGAACAAAGAATTCTGAGCCTCGAAGGTGTAGTCAAAAGTGACTAAAGTGTCAAACAAAGGGTGTACTTTGTTCGAGGACTCTAAAAAAAGGAGTCGAGCCTCGATTTAGGGGAGGCTATTCGAGAGCTTCATAAGCTTCAGGGGAGGCTTATAGTGTACTTTGTTCGAGGGGGGATTGTTGAGGATAAGTGATGAATACTATCTCCATTGGTACGAAGCCTTTCGGGGAAGTCCAAAGCAAAGCCATGAGAGCTTATGCTCAAAGTGGACAATATTATACCATTGTGGAGATCCGTGATTTCTAACATTATTGTTCTAGCTTGAATGAATATGAACATGAATATGAACATCTAGGTCAATTGACGAAGATTTGGGAGTGAAAGATCCAAAAGTCGAGATCCCAGCGCTTCTTGTAATGGGTGAAAAGGATTATGTATTGAAGTTTCCAGGGATTGAGGAATATGTAAGAAGTGAAAAGGTGAAAGATTATGTTCCAAAACTGGAGATTGTGTTCCTACCAGAAGGATCCCACTTTGTTCAAGAACAATGCCCTGAACAAGTTAATCAGCTGCTACTCACTTTCCTTGTCAAACATACTTAGATTTGGATATCTCCGACCGTAAACACTTCAAAATAATGATATCCATACGAACGGTGTGTGCGCATGTGCGCGTGTGTTAGCTACTTTTGGACACCACAGTGACTGTCTTTCTATTTATGTATATCAATGCCTAGTATCGGTGAAAATTTTGAGTTTTTTTTTTCTTTTTTAATCCATTTTTGTAACCGTCGTCCAGAATATTGTCATATTTGAATTTTTTTTTAAAAAAATGAGTTTGTTAGGGAGATGTTTTCACGCCATGTTTTGTTTCTGTCTTCAACTGATGTGAGATTTCATAATCCAGCTCTCTTTGGAGCTTACGTTCTCAATGTTACTCATTCCTCTCTTCAATTCATGTGGGATTTTACAATCTACTCCCCTTTGAAACCAAGTGTTCTCGAGGCATAATTTGTTTATTTTATCTAGGATTGTGAGATCCCACATCAATTTGAGAGAAGAACGGGTGTTAGCAAGGATGCTGGGACTCGAACGAGGTGGATTGTGAGATCTTAAAAGAGTTGGAGAGGAGAACGAAACATTATTTATGAGAGTGTGGAAATCTCTCTCTAGTAGAGGTGTTTTTTAAAATTGTGAGGTTGACAGCGATTTGTAACGAGTGAAAGCGCCCTGAAAATAATATATATTATTTATCTAAATTTTATGAAAAAATCTCAATAATTGTTTTTCAAACTAATTTCAAATTGAAAAAAAAAATACTTTTCGAAATTCGAGTATAATTTAAAGCAACCGAGAAGGGTATTTTGGTAATTTAAACTTTAGGAAGCCACCAAGAAAGCCCCCCGCCCACAAACAACGACTTTCTTTTGGCTGTTGAAAGACTATGAGCGGTTGGGTTACTTGAGATAATTGAAACAGAGCAGAGTCCAAAATCTGAACTCATCTCACTCACTCATTTCCCTTTTGAGCTCTGGAATGGATCAAATTCAGCACAATTTCATCGAAGTTGCAGGCCTGAAGCTCCACGTAGCCGAAATCGGAACCGGTGATCACTCGTTTCTTCGCCAATTTCTTCACCGGAACTTGTTGTTTTGCTTACAAAAACCTACTCTCAATCTGCGTGTGCTCATCCTTTTCCCATTTTTCTTTCAGGTTCCAATGTCGTCGTCTTCCTCCACGGATTTCCGGAGATATGGTACTCATGGCGGTACCAGATGATCGCTATTGCTAACGCCGGGTTCCGAGCAATTGCTCCCGATTACAGAGGATATGGACTCTCCGATTCGCCTGCTGAGCCCTCGAAGGCTTCATTTAGCGATCTCATCAGCGATCTCCTTGGGATTCTTGACGCTCTCAACATCCCTAAGGTACTATTCTCCCTATGATGCGCTTTAATTTGTGGCTGTAATCGTATTAAGGTTATTAGGGTTCTAAACGGAAGATCACAGTTACATCGACTGCGAGATGTTTGAAAAAATGAACTGCTGGATGAATTGATTAATAGAAAAAGTTAGAATGAAAAGGAGTAGAATCTTTATCTTTGTCTCTGATAATTTCTAACACGAACTGATCTCCATTCCTACATATTGACTTTTGATTTTATGATTTTGAAGTAAAGCCATTCCTACATAGCCTGCTGCGATGATAGCAAACTAAGAAATCTTCTTACATTACTCTGTATAGGTGATTATTGTTGGGAAAGATTTCGGAGCATGGCCAGCTTATTACTTCGCTCTGAAACATCCTGAGAGGGCATTGGGAGTTGTCACATTGGGAGTGCCATTCATGCCTCCTGGATCTGTTAGGAGTACCCAAAGCCACATCCCTGAAGGCGTGTATACCTTAAGATGGCGGGTATCAATCCACATGCTCTACCATTTGCATTAGACTCTAGCCCTTTCAAGACAAAACTCAAATCCTATTGATTTCGCAGTACTGATTCTAGATAGTGTAACGGCTCAAGCCCATTGTTAGCAGATATTGTTATCTTTGGGTTTTCCCTTTCAGGCTTTCCCTCTAGGGAGAGGTTTCCACACAAGCATAAAGAATGCTTTGTTCCCCTCTCTAGTCGACGTGGGATCTCACAAAACGTGTTGTTCTACATGGAATAGATGAATCTTTTATAATGTTTGGTTGGATTTCAAGTTTTTTTTAACTTTGTGTTTGCCTGTTTTTCTGTTCTTCCTTTTACTAATTTGCTGCTAAAACTTTTTCTCTAATCGAGGAACCCGGGCGAGCCGAGGCTGATTTTGGTCGCTTTGATGCAAAAACCGTTGTTAGAAATGTTTATATCCTCTTCTCCAAAAGTGAAATGCCAATAGCTCAAGAAAATCAAGAAATAATGGACTTAGTAGACCCATCCACCCCTCTTCCTCCCTGGTTCACCGAGGAAGATCTAGCAACTTATGGAGCTCTGTATGAGAAATCTGGATTTGATACCGCATTGAAAGTTCCTTACAGGTATGAGTTTATGAAGTGATCATATCTTGTTCTACTTGGATAATTCTGTTATATTTGATATGAATATGATAGGTCATTCAATGAAGATTGGGGAGTAAAAGATCCGAAGGTTGAAATTCCAGCATTGTTTATAGTGGGTGAAAAGGACTATGTTCTCAAATTCCCTGACATTGAGGAATACGTAAGAAGTGGAAGAGTTAAAGAATTTGTTCCCAAATTGGAGATCATCTATTTGCCAGAAGGATCTCATTTTGTTCAAGAACAGTCCCCCGAAGAAGTTAATCAGCTACTACTCACTTTCCTTGCCAACCATTTTTGACGGTGCAAGTTCTAAGTCTATCAATATCTACACTGTGTATGTTCTTAATCCCAACTGAAACGCTATGTAATATGTCAACTACGTTGTGTCTAGAGAAACGATGAACCTTTGTCTAAAGATAAATCGTAAAATAAGAAGTGTGAAATCCTACCTTCGAAGCATTCTTTGTAAGGGTGTATAAATTTCTCCTTTGCATACGCGTTTTAAAAACGTTGAGGGAAAGTCTAAAGATGACAATATCTACTAGCGGTAGGCTTAGGTTGTTACAAATAGTATTAGAGTTAGACACCGAGCCGTGTGCTAGCGAGGACATTGGGCCCCTAAGGGGGTAGATTGTGAGATCTCACGTCGATTGGAGAGAAGAACGAAATATTCCTTATAAGCGTCTGGAAACCTCTCCCTAATAGACACGTTTTAAAATTGGGAGGTTGACGACGATACGTAACGGGCCAAAGCGGACAATATCTGCTAGCAATATGTTTGAGGTTTTACAATAAGATGAGAAGGTAGCTAAGGAGAGGAATGTTTTGAAGTTCGTACTTTATATTTGTTATTCTTTAGGGGATGTGGAAATGAAAATGCAAAATTACAAATATTTTGTATTTACAATGAAATAGAGTCGATTTGCTCGAGTTCTAAACATTGGTCACACAAAAACGACGCATGAAAAGTAGAAAAATTGTTAGAAATCACGGACTTCTGTAATGGTATGATATTGTCAACTTTGAGCATAATCTTTCGTGGCTTCACTCTTGACATTCTAGACGGGTAAGAAAGAACCCAACAAACATGAACATTCGAATTTAGGGTTTCGATGTCACAGGAGGAAGAATGCTTGCATGTTATAATTTTATTTTAATTCATCTAATTTAGGTAGCCAATGGCAAAACGTTTTTGTAGTTAATATTAACTTTTATTTTGATTTTTTTAAAAAGAAAATTATTTTACAATTTTGTAATTTTAATTTTTTAAAAAAGATGTCAACGGAAGGTTAGTTCAGCAATTTTTCTCAATAGAACCGATAAAAGAATATTTACAATAGGAAACTCAACGTCGAAGAAGGTTTCATTTGGAAGTTTAATAGATCAGTCTCTCCTTCCTCTGCTCCACGATTCAGATCTCTCTCTCGTCGGGAATAACCTCATCAATTGAAGAAATTCCTGGTTTGAATGTCTCTCTATCCGTTGGATGTTTTTTTTTTCTTTCCCTCTCTCTAGCTCTCTCAATATTGAAATTTAGCACTGGTTTTTTTAATTTTGTGAAGTGGATCTGGATTCTGCGTGAACTTTTCATAGGTTTGGTTGCCGATATAATCTGTGCATTATATGCTTGCGGATTGACTTGGATCTGCTGTAATTTGTGAATTTATGACGTTCTCTGGATTGACTACATGGTTTTGATTGTTGATTTATAATTGTAGTAGTTTGTGGGAATAATGAGAGCTTCTTCTGCTTCAGATCCCTTACTTTTCTTTTTCCCCCTCCCCCTCCCCTGCGAATGTCGGCCTGATCTCCAAGACCTTCGGCGGTTTAAAGTCTTTCGTAGTAATATAGTCCCAAGTAGAGTTAGATAGATAGCATGGGCATAGATAAAGAGTTTGGGCAAAGAATGTAGACATGAAACTTTGTTTGTGCACTTTATTTCAAGGTGATCAATAGTTTTATATTAACATTTTAGAACACTCTTGAGGGGTTTTTTTTTTTTTTTTTTTTTTTTTTTTTTTTTTTTTTTTTTTTTTTTTTT